AAATAAATAAGAAAAAAAAAAGGGCCGGGGAGATGGCTCAGTGGAATAAGCGCTTCCCTGGCAAGTGCAAGGGCCTGAGTTCAATCCCCAGTTCTACCAAAAAAAAAAAAAAAGAAAAGAAAAAAAAAGAAAACTCTTGGTTTTCCAGCAATTTCACTAATACCCCAAACAGACCAAAGTTACTACACAAAAACTACAGACCACTATCTCTCACAAGTAGAGCTAGGGTAACCCTCAGCAAAAACGCTAGGGAATCATTCTCAACAACATATAACAAGAATTAAGTGCCGTGACCAAGTATTACCTCAGGCATGCATGCCTGGTTCAATGTTTAGAAATAAAAAAATATAATCACATACACTAAAGAAAATCGCAGTAAACTAAAGAAAAATCACATAATTATATCAATAAATACAGAAAATTTTGACAAAATCTAGCACCCATTTATAATTTTTTTAAACGATAGTTAACTAGATGTTATGGTTTGTGTCTAGGTGTCCCCCCAAAGTCTCATGCAGTCAAGGGGCGGCTTCTGGAGCTTGTGATTGATTCTTGATCCAGTGCTGGGATTAGGGGTGTGAGTGCCCTGGAGCAGGTACTCTGCATTACAGTGTGAGGAGGGGAGAGAGGCCGGCAGCCTGCCTGAGCTGCTGCCGCTGCCTTTGCCTCTCTGTCTTTTGCAGCTGCCATGTATGATTGCTCTCTACCATGCCCCGCTCTGCCTTGGAGCCGGCTGAGTATGGACTGAAACCTTCACTAACTGTGAACTAAATAAACCTTTCCTTCCTGCATTTTGGGTGTCGGGTATTTGTCGCAGCAAGGAGAGAAGAGTAACTGAGATACCAGGCCTAGAGAGGAAAGGCCTCACCCTAACAGTGTCTATACGACTTTTCTCATAATCCTACAACTAATGTTAACAGTGACAGCCTCAAGGTTTCTCATTAAAATCAGGAAGAAAGCGAGACTGTCCCCTCTCCCACTATTTTTCTGTTTTGTTTTGTTTTTTTGTTTTTTTGCAGTACCGGGGATTGAACTCAGGACCTTGCACTTGCCAGGCAAGCACTTATTCTACTGAACCACCCCCACTATTTTTCAACCCTGTACTGAACATATTACATAATGCAGTTAAGAAAAGAAATAGAAGATACGAAAATTGGAAAGCAAAAACATAACACTTCGTTCACAGGTGACATGTTTATGTAGAAAATCTGAAGGAATCAGGAAATAGAAGCTAACCTACAACTACAGCAG